GTGAGTGTTGTTGTGTGTGTGTGTGTGTGTGTGTGTGTGTGTGTGTGTGTGTGTGTGTGTGTGTGTGTGTGTGGATGTTTGTGTTCGAAGGGGATGTTGCTTGGTGCCGACAATGTGCGATTCATGCGCGCTTCATATGTAATCTGGTGTGGCCGCCTTATCCCACCCCACACATCATTAGGTGACTGAACCGCCAAGTGACAAGTCAGAGCAGGACGATGATGACGATGAGGAAGAGGATGGTGGTGTAGCCACGGCGGCAAAGGATGGTAATGGTGCTGACGCTACAGCGAAAGGCAGAGAGCAGCACCCGAAGAAGGGCGACAGAGCACCAGACAGCAGGGCACGCATCGACCGCTTGCGAACCATCCTTGCAAAGCGGAGAAAGGACGTACGTCAGACTTCATGTGTTTGTTTGTTTGTGTGTTTGTGTGTTTGTTTGTGTGCTTGCTGGCCTTGCTGGTTTCTTGCATTCTTTGCTGTGGTTTGTTTGTGGTTTTGCGCTTGAGTGTGTTGTGTTTGTGTGTTCCATCTCACAGCCTGCCACGATGCTGTGCCTGTACACAGGGCCAGAGCGTATCAGACATTGCAGCTGGTCTCCTCCAAAGCCACTTTGTGAAAAGGGTGAGCCCGCACAACCCACTCGCTTGATGCTGGACATGGTGTTCGCGTGTGATTTAAATGTCTTGATGTGGGTGACGCTCGTCTCTGTGTGGAAGTGCATGTGGGTGTGGTTTTGTGGGTGAGCGCACGCGTGGGAATGCACAAACGCGCGCTTGTGCGAGTGTATTCACACGCCTGAACACGTGTACATGCATGTGTGTGTGTGTGCGTGTGCGTGCCACGCCATGACGCAGGAGGACCTAGAGAGCTACCAGCATGAGCTGCAGCAGTTCTGGTCATCACCCATCAGCCGCCGCGGTAACTTCGACCCGGGAGACACCGCAACATCGTGATCCAAAGAACCGCCTTCCCACAATCAGTCGTTGTATCCGCCATAAGCAAAGCCTCGTTGCTGCTGTCATTGATGTTGTGCGGCTCACAACGGGGAGTGTTGATGGCGATGAAGATGGTGATGCCAATGCCATTGTTACGACTGTTGCTCCTCTTCATGGTTTGGGTGGTTCGTACTGCCAGCTGCTGCAACGTGATTGCGTTACTCAGGCTCTCGCATGTCCCCTCAAGTTGTGCTTATTTGTCCCCATAGAGTATACCTCTCAACTGCTGCTGTGTATTGCATTTTGCGTACAAACCAACATACAAGCAACTGCACGCGCTGCTGTTGAACGGCCCATACACGGACACGCACCACAACCAACCTCGACAACAGCAAGAAAACCATCTTTGGTTAAAGCCAATCTGGCCATTGCACATTGCATGCCTTCATCTGCAGGCTCTACACACACACACACACACACACACACACACACACACACACACACACACACACACACACACGCACACAATACACATTGTGAACAAGGAGGGGCAGGCCAACTGGCCCGCCCATCCGCTCTTCATTCTGTTTGTCGTCTCTTTCCCCCTCCTTCCTCTCTCTCGCCCACATGAAGGCACTCTCGCCCCCGGGCTACGACTGCTGGTGCTGCGCCGCTGTTGTCGTGTCACTGAGCATGCTGTCAGCATCGGTGTCATCCGACACGTACCCGTCATCCTCGCATGCAACACCACCGTCTGCCTCTGCCTTGGCTGCTGCTGTCTCGACCTGCTTGGCGCGGGCGAGGGCGCGGGCCTCCTGGTACGACTGGATGCCAAACCGGTGCATCTTCGCCAGCGCCTGCACGAGCTGCTGCGCAACCTATTGCCGTAAAGTCGATAGAGGTGGTGTTGGCGGTAATTGGCGGTAATTGACGGGAAGGGGACGGGAAGGAAAGGGCGTGCAAGTGCGTGCGTGCGTGAGTGAGTGACTGATTGACATGTTGGCTGAAGCGAGTGTGAACAGTGCAACACAGTGCCAGCCCAAAGAGCGAAGCAGCAACAAGACAGTCACCACCATCTGCATGCTCATATGTGCACATGCGCGCACCTTGAGGTTTGTGATGATGGGGACGTTGTGGTCGACGGCTGCGCGGCGGACGCGGTATGTCTTGCGCTGCTCGTCCGTGTTCGGCTCCTGTCCAAGCGACGTCGCCTGAAATGGAATAAAAGAGTATGAGGAAAGCAGATTCAATTGGCGTGCAGTGTGTGTGTGCGTGCGTGTGTATGTGTGCGTGCGTGTGCGTGTGCGTGGAAAGGGCACATGTGAGCGTGGGAGCATGCATCCACATGCGTGCATATGACTGAGAATGTCCGCATCACACAGTGGTGAAGTGTGGCAGCGTGCAAAGGAGGCGGCTGCCACTGTGTATGGTGCAGTGAAGACTGCAGTGCCGTGCCCTCACCAGCGGGAAGTTGATGAAGAGATCCACCTCTCCGCTTCGCAGCGCATGCAACACGTCGAGCGTGTGCGGATCAGCGAGATAGTCGTCCTGGCGTGGCATGTTCGCACGCGTCACGGCAACGCCGTTGCGGGCAAGGTGCAGCGCAGTTGGTGGTGTCGCAAGCAGCTTGTACCTGCAACAAAGGGCCGTGGTGCGTGCGTGTGTATGCGTGTGTAAGTGAGTGAGTGAGTGAGTGAGTGAGTGAGGGAGTGCGTACATGCGTGCGTGATGAAGATGAAACGGTGACACCGCATGTCATCATCACGACGACCACCACCACGACGACGACCACTACCCGTACGCACCCCATGGCTGCGAGAGCGCGGGCTGAAGCGAGGAAGTCGTCCTTGTGGTCTCCGGCCATGATGAGAATTGTCTTCTGTGGCAGGCGCAGATTCGCCGCAATCACCGCCTTCAAGAACGCCTCCTCCTTTGTTGCTCCCAAGCACCCAACTTCACCTGGTTGTCACATGGTAACACGCAGCAGCGAACAACAATCAACGGGCGTGTTGTGTGTGGATGCGTACGAACGACAAGAACAGCGGCAGTGTCAGATCGCACCACGGTCAGGCGAGTACCCCGAAGTACAACACAACCAAAACCACCAATGCATGGCCACCAGCAACAATTCGCCATCAGCAGCAGCACGACTGCGCACCTGTTGATGCCATCTCCACGCCTAAGACGGGGTCAGCGCCGAGCAGCCGCGCCCACGAGAACTGCGGTGCCTTCACCCCAACATACGGGATGGCATCCAGGTCAATGTCCATGCTCTCCACATGCTCGCCAGCGAATACGCGTGCCGCTTTCTCGGCAAAGTCCACGCCAAGGACCTGTTGCACACACACACACACACACACACACACACACACACACACACACACACACACACACACACACACACACACACACACACAAAGTGTACGTTTGAGGGGATACGTTTGTGACACCATCGGTCACATGATTGTTTGATGGGAGTAGAACAAGCAGCGCTTGTATGTATCAGGCATGGGCACGCGTGCTGAATGTGCGCGTGCTGGACGTGTGTACAACGCACCTTGGAGCAGAAGGGGAGACTGCGGGAGGCACGAAGGTTGGTCTCAATCACCTGGGCGGTGGAGCGTGTGCAAATGAACAAGGACGCGGGCGAGCAATGTTAACCCATAAGTCAAGCGATCAAATCACATCATCATCACGGTGAAGGGTGCGTGGCGTATGTTTGATGTCAACAGCAATGCCACTCGGGTGTGAGATGTGAATGTGCGGGTGACTGTGAGGGCGGAAACCCTGCCACCACCACCACCACCACCACCACCAGTCACGGCAATGACAACACACCTTAATGGCACCGTCTTTGGTCAGGAGGAACTGGCAGTTGAACGGCCCGCTAATGTTGAGCGCTTGGGCAATTGCCTTTCCAGAGGCCAGCACGCCATTGTACTCCTCGCTGGTCAAGTTCTGGTTGAGGGGGGGGGGCAGTGGCAAGTGAGGGTGTGCATGTGTGTGTGTCGAGAAGATGTACGCGAACAACATCTTTTGTAGCCGAGATACCACACACACACACATCAAACACACACACACACACACACATTAAACACACACACCAAACACACCCCGAGCACGCCCAAGGCTTCCCTTCATTCACCATCGCCACCCGTCACACCTGTGCAGGCAGGACGAGCGTGGCGTCGCCAGAGTGGACACCGGCGTTTTCAACGTGCTCGGCAATGGCGTGCACGACAAGTCGGCCCTCTTGTGCAACAGCATCAAGCTCAATCTCCCGCGCATCCTGAACACACATGCAAAGCGGTACAGCCATGGCATTGGAGGAGGTGCATTGGTGGTTAGTCATCGATGGTGGTGGTGGTGAAATGAACACATGTGAAAAAACGGAGCACGCAAACTCCACGCCATAAAAGGGTCTGAACGTGTTAGTGTGTGTTAGTGTGTTGGTGCGTGCGTGTGGGCGTGTCCGTATGCGTTTCCCACCTCGATGAACTTTGAAATGACGACGGGGTGGTCCTTGGAGACGTCTGCCGCCTCCTTCAAATACCGCTGCAGCTGCTCCTTTGTGCGCACCACATTCATTGCAGCGCCACTGCACAACGGCGTTCGCCGAAAGAAAAAGGGAAGGAAGGAAGGAAGGAAGGAAGGAAGGAAGGAAGGAAGGAAGGAAGGAAGGAAGATGTGTGCACATCAATGAAACGAGACTCACTGGGCAATGGACGTGGATGTAGGATGGAATGACGCCATCACTACAACGGGCAGCAAGGAAACGTCACGCCACGCCACCATAGCACAAGCACAACCCACCAGCAGAGCAAGGGCATCTGGTCACGAATGAGTCCATACCTGAGGACATATGAGGGGCGGACGAGGACGGGGTAGCCGACTTGGTTGCAGAACTCCTCGGCATCTCCAAAGCTCGACAGCTCCCGCCACCTGAAGCGTGCGTGTGAGTGAGTGAGTGAGTGAGTGAGTGAGTGAGTGCGTGTGAGTGAGTGTGTGTGTGTGCGTGAGTGAGTGTGTGTGTGTGTGTGTGTGTGTGTGTGTGTGAGGGTG